CCAACAGTGCTGTTTTTGCTTCTAATATAACAATAGGAAATTTTACACGTAGCCATGTATTAATGTACTAGGAAAAAAGATTTAAGTTTTGGGTTAAAGTCCAATCACTAGATCATATAAAAATTAAAGTTTAGGTTTATGAAACTCATATAAGTCATGGTAAGGAATGAGATTTGAATTAATTATTATAGAATTACAGGACACTATGTTGAATCATAATAGGTTAATAGAACAGCTAAGTCATTTAAGTAAACTTATAGATTATAGTATAGTGTTAAGTTGATAATATTAATCGTTAAAAATATTTGGAGTCAGTGAACTTGGATTGAACCTAGAGTTAACTCAGAAAAGTTTTTTGTATTAATCAGGGTTTAGAACAGAGTATAATATGAATGATTTATTGAACACTATGGAAGACATTTTGAACAATTGAAATTGTGCACCTGTGACCTTGATGTGAGTTTTGTGAAGCACGTCAGGCATCATGGAGTTCGAATTGTTTGCTCGAAACTTGCAAGTCTCATGATGGTCTTGTGATGCATGGTTTGTAAAGCACGGAACTTGTACGCCCCTAGCAAGTGATTATCACACTACTGGAGGGTATAGAAAATGGTATATAAGTTGGAAAAGGTTTGAATAAAATTGGCTCCAGTCCTGATCAGACTGTTCCCAGAAGAACTGCCTCCGAGTGGTCTTCTCGCCGTCTCCTGATTCTCTGGTGCGGGTCCTAACCCACCCTTGGTCAGTGCTGGTCACCGACAGAGATGAGGTCTTGCTCTGTTACCCAGGCTGGTCTTGAACACCTGGCCTCAAGTGACTCTCCTGCCTTGGCCCCCCCAAAGTGCTGGGATTACAGGCGTGAGCTACGGCACCCAGCCTATATCTCTTAAGGTCCATACATACATACACAGACACACATTCTCTCTCTTTCTCTCATGTACACTCACACAGATGTACAAGCTCTCTTTCTGACACACACACACACACACACTGATATCAATATATATACACAAAGGCACTGGTTCACATAAGTATAATGTGACTCATGCACAGCTAATTTAGACATGATGATGGCAAGTTTTCTACCTTGTTATCCTTGTAAAATAAACCAAAACATGTTTGAAAACACGTGTAACTGATTTCATGTGCTTTTGAGAATTGTGTCACATTTCCAAATCTCCTGTGAGACTTGTACAGGAGCACAAGGTCCCTGTCTCACCCCCCTTGCATCTTCTGTTCATGCTGAGTCAGCAGTCAGTGCACAAAGAGTGTGTGACAATTGATAGTGGGGTGCTCTCCTCCCTAGGTGTCGATCTCTCCTCCACAGAGGCGACTCGGGTCTCAGAGCGAAGCAGCAATGGTGATGGCCTCAGCCGGGGCTGGCTCTCTTTACCGTGTCCGGGAGGTCCTTGCCTGCTCCCTTTCCCATCCCTCTAGGTGCCAAGTGGTCACACCTCCCGCCTCATCCTCACCTCTGGCTTGTAGGCCTTCCGGAATCTCGAGGGTCCGTCGGGGCTGAAGACCTGGCCAGGCACACAACTCACCACGGCTGGCAGCCCATTCTCACAGGTGACGTTCTTCATGGGATCCAGTGACACCTGAGGGCCCAGCTTGCAGCTGGAGATGTGGGCCTCCGTGCCGGTACAGTCCATGGAGTATGGCCAGTAGCGCTGCTTCCTCCGTGAGGCAAACATTCTGCAGAGGGTGGGAGGGGACGGGTGACCAGGGCATCGTGGCACCCACCCTGATTCCTGCTGCAACTGGGCAGAACAAGATGGACAGAGCCCTGCGCCTGGAGCTCAGCCCTGCCTCACAGACACATTCCACCAGCACTGGCTGAGCACCTGGCTCATGCTTGCCACCGTGCTGGGCACTGGGGGCAGGGCCCAGAGGGTGGACGCAGCCTCCTGGCCTCAGGCAGCTTCCACTATAGGAGAGAAAGGACTAACTTGGCATAGTGAAACGATAAGACTAACGAAAACTGTAAATATAAAGTGCAAAGAGTAGCTAAAAGAGGTGAGATCCATCCTTGGTCCCCAGAAGCCCCTCAGTCCCAGGCAAACCGGAATGGCTGGTCTCCCTCACTCTTCAGATAACCCCAACATGACCTGCGGCTGTTCATCTGGTGGTGAGCAGTACGAGAAGATGATTGCTAAGCTCTCCCAACGACATACAATGTGAGATGTGTAAATCCAACAAGAAGTAACGAGAACTATCTTAAGTTATTCCATCCGCTGAATCAGAGTACAATTTGCTTAGCAATTAGGACTACAATGGTAATGAAACTGCCACTGTCCCTGGTACCCAGGAAACTCAGTGAGGACCAGGTAGTGTCCATACCATATCCTAGGGAAGCCCTCAGCCTGTATTTCTAGTATGTGCTAACGATTCCTTCTTACCTTTGTTTGTTTGTTTAAAGCAGAACATGGATTAAGGCAACAAAGTTTGTTTGTTTTTTCGAAAACAGTCACTAATCGATAAGTAGTAAATTGGTCAACAGAAAGGTTACTGTGCTTCCACTTCTTCCTGTTCAAATCCAAAGTAGTAATAGTATCTTTTTTACGATGTTGTTAGGAGAGTTAAATGAGTTAATACTTGTCACTTAAAACAGTGCCCAGAACATAGGAAGGGCTGTATCAGTGTTTGTGAAATAAATAAATAAAAACGACATGGTTTAAAGGTAAAAAGAAAAGATATGAGAGAAGGGAGAGAGCCTGTGGCTGGAGGGTTCATGGAAGAGGAAGCTTTGAATTGGGTCTTGAGTGATGGTGGAATTTGAAACAGAGGAGGTCAGGAAGGCCTGCCTGTCCACTTATGCTGTCCTGGCTCTTTGGGACCTGTGTGTTTGACCCTGCTTGCCAGAAGTAGCTAATGGAGAGGCTTCCCTGGCCAGGCTGATCCCTGGACGGGGCAGGAGCTAGGTCCTGCTCCGGAAGTACTTGCTTTGTCTTGGAGCCCATGGGATAGAAACACAGGGGAAAGACAAATCCTACAGACACCATCATAATCATTCCTTAACACCAAATTGAGTCTGATAACAATTCTAATGTACCTGTTAGTGCAATGGCCCCGAATCCTTGCAGTAAGGACAATTCTGGAAAATTCAAGGGGGCACGCTCACCACGACAGCAGCTAGAGTACAGAGCTGCACGGGAGGGCTGTTCATAATTCCAGGAATCACTGCCCGCCCGCCCGCCACACTTCCTGCAAGGCCCCTGCACTTGGAAGCCTATAGCATGTTCCCCAGAATGCCCCTGCACGGGGCGGGAGAACATACAGGGGGGAACACCCACTGCATGAGGATTGGTCAGACCTTGCTGCCTGCCTTGGCTCAGAACAACTCTTCTGCTTCCAGCTGTCAGTGAGCGCCACCCTCTCCAGGAACAGATGTCCTGAGCTGTAAATAGAGAGTCCAATGCTCTCTCCCCATCCCTCTTATGTCAGCCCCCAGGAATGCACCCCCCTGACCCTGAACAGGCCTCCAGCAGACGGTCTGCTCCTCCCCCATGCCGGTGTGATTCACTCAGGACAGGCCCCAGGACTGCAGCTGGAGGCCCTCCGCGGGCGGTGGACAGCCCACTCCCAGCCTGGACATTGGAGGGATGGCTGGAGTCAGTGGGTACCCTGCTTGCAAAAGAGGTGTCTAGGCCTATGCCTGGGCAGTCGGAAGGACGCTGAGCTGGATCGATTTGACTAAAAATGAAAAGGACTTCCATGTTCCCTCAGCCAAGGGTGAAGCCAGATTTTGTGGGATTGTGCCAGTTGCTGAGTATGTCTCTTCTAATTATGTGTTTCAGAACTGGGGCAATCAGAAGAGGACTGGCTTGGGGATCCACTGAGCCCACTGCAAGACAAACTGGAGCTAAAACTTCATAAGCCCTGGCCCTGGTGGTGGGCCACAGTGAATTTCTGGGTCTCCTGGAATTAGTGTCAGCTCAGAACCAGCGTCCGGTAGCCCCTGAAAGGTCAGATTATTTCATTTCCCCCCAGTGCACAGTCATCCTGACAAAAGGTCCCTTTGGGGAAGGCTGGGAGAAAGAGAAGCAGTGCAGATTTTTGGCAATGTCCCAGGGTCCTTCCTTGAGAGTACCCAGCCCTCCCTTCATTCAAGGGTTTCTTGGTCTGTCAACAAGCTCAGGTCTGGGAATTGAATGAAAGGTATGACTCTATCTTTATGATTAGGGATAGATTTTTGTTCACTTGACCTCGAACTTTTCTGCTTATACAGATCAAGAAAGAATTTAGTGGGCTTCCTGCCTATTTCACTGGGAGTAACAGCATGATCAATAGCCAGCACCACAGGCCTGCATGAGTCAGACTGTTCTGATCACTGCTTTGACCCCTCTGTCCAGTAGGGTCGCCATGTCCACCTTGCCTTTGGTAGTTGAGTGCTGCCAATTGGCCTGGCTACCCCAGCATCACTCCCATTGCATTTAAGTTTTCTGGTTCCTGGCTTACAGAGAAGAACCATCGCGGTTCTTCCAGGATGCCAGACTCCCTTCACATTTATCTTTCCACAGTCACAGCGAAATGTGTGTCGCCTGGGCCTTTCCAGTGTGAGTGAGGAGGTCTTAAATGACAAATCCACTCTGACAGTCCAGCCTCCCTTCCTAAGCCTCTGAATCCCATCCTCCACTCTCAAGTAGGCCATGTTTTGGTCTCTGTTTCAGCCAATCAACCAACCAACCAAACTGCTGAAGCCCTTTCTAACGCCAGGAGCTGCAGAATCTCTGCTTACTGAGCTCCTATCAGTAAATCAGTGTCAACATCAGGATCCTGCTTTAAGGAAGAAAATGATGATGACAAAATGCTCCTGGCCCCAAGGATGGGGCCCTGAAGCTTAAGCCTCATTAGCTTCAAGGCATGTGCAGGCACCCCAGCCCGAGGCAGAAGTCAGCTCCACCGCAAAGCCAGGGCATGGGGGAGAGCAGCCCTGGGGAAGGAGCCCTACTCCACTCCCCGGGAGCCTGAGGCTGCAGAGGCCTCTGGGTATGTGTGCAGGTAACAAGGGGAATGGAGATCTGGGGAAGACCTGCAGTCACCAGCCAGGGGGTGCCTCAGAGGCCTCTAGCGGCCACCGGCGAGGCAGGCTCACAGAGGGAGCCAGTCGCAGGAGGGCAGTTGGGGACGCAAGGTGTTAACCAGGTGAACTTCCAAGGCTATGAAGTCCTTTGGGGCAAAGGTCCCCAACCTTTTTGGTACCAGGGACCGATTTCGTGGAGGACAATTTTTCCATGGACGGGGGTGGGGAGCATCATCAGACATCAGATTCTCCCAAGGAGCGCGCAACCTGGATCTCGCGCACACGCAGTTCACAATAGGGGGGGTGGCACTCCTGTAACAATCTAAGGGCGCTGCTGATCTGTGACAGCAGACGGAGCTGCCCGCCGCTCACCTCTTGCTGTGTGGCCCAGTTCCTGCTACCAGTCTGCAGCCCCGGGTTTGGGGACCTCTGCTTTAGGAGCCCAGGTGGATATACAGAGATTACTAACTCCATCTCAGAATAAGAATTACTTTGAGAACAATTTTCTTTCTAGAGGTGGGCAGTGCTGCTCCGGGGTGGAGAGGGGTGGGAGCTGGAGCAGGGGGTCCTTTCTTAGGCCTTGGGGTGTGATGCCAGCAACATCAGCCACAGGCTGGAAGAAGAGGGAAAGGGAGACGGGAAGAGATGCGACTAGAAGGCACTGATTCAGGGATCGGGCAGAGTAGTAGGCCTTAGCCTGGCTTCCTGGTCTCTGGGGTCCTCAATGTCTGAGCAGTACTCATGGATCTCCCTATCGTTGGCCAGCCTTACCCTAGCCCTCAGACTGACCAGTGCTGCCGAGCTGGTCTCTCTCCAGGAGGATCAGGGCTGCAGCAGGGCCTGCAGGTGGAAGTCACAGTGCAGAGCTCTCTCTGGATCAGACCTGGGCTGGCCTGCAGGCTCTGCCAGGTGTGAGCTCTGCCATCCTGAGTCTGTTGCCCTTCAGGCCTCGCCCCTTCCCATGCAGACAGAGAGCTTGGACTAGTGAGCCTCACCATGCCCTAGTTCTGGCTCTTTGCTGACAGCTCCCTCCAGCCCCAGCCCGTTACCATCTCAGCCCCTGGCAGCACCATCAAGGCACAGAAACTCTTCCCAGAGCCTTGCTTGTGGCACATATAGGCCCACCTGCCAAGTGAGCCCCAGAGACTAACAGAAAACGACAAGAGACAAGCTGAGAAGGTTTTGCAACCCCCACTTCTGCTCCTTTGCCGGGAAGGCAGCCCCATGTCTCCAGCTAAAGGGCTGTGAGAGGAGCTGGTTTCCAATAGCTTCTGTTAATCATCTCTCATCGCACAGAAAGCACCGCCCACCACCACCTTGGAGGCCTCCCAGCCTTGGAAGCCTTTTCCTCTCCCCCTTTGCAAAGGGGAAACCACAGATGGGATGAGAAGAACAGCGAGGGGGTTTCCAATCCAGCACGTGAGAGGATTCCCTGGGGCTCAGCTGCTGAAACTGGCCTGAGATCACCTACTCAAAAGCAGAGAAAGACTCTGGGTGGGGTACAGTTGGGAGATGGCCTTCAAACACCATCTGAACAAAGTGTGTGGTGCCCAGCTCAGACCTACGGCTAGCCAAGTGGGAAGCTTGCCAGGCAGGTGGGGTGGGGGGAGGAGGATGCTTTTTTTTGGCTCCAACCGGTGGTAAAAGCTGAGAAGGTGTCGCCAGAGAAGGAGTCAATGAGTTGCTGGGACTTCCCCAAAGTATTTAGCGGTCAGGGACCTCTGATTGCCAACAGGAAGGTCTGGGCCATGTCTGGGGGCTAGTGGGGTGTGGGTCACTACTGTGGTCACCCAGGGGTGCTGTGAGCTCTGTGGCCACATTCACTTACTCCCAGGTTGGGCTGGGCGCTTGGACCAAAAAGTATGACCCACCCTGTCTAAGCAGGGCTTGGACAGGCTCAGGAAGAGATGCAGCCTACCTACCCTGCATCCAGCCCTGCTGGAAGTGGAGTTGGAGCTTGAAGCCAGGTCTCCTGACTTGGAAGCCACCTCTCTCTCCTCTGGTTTGGAAGGATGAAAGCCGTATCGTGTAGCTGGATACTGTGCTTGACGCCTCGATTTGCCATCAAGCAGGTTCTACCCTCTGTCTCTACCTTCCTCATCTCTCAAAGAGACCTCTATTTCCTAATGGAGTTGTGAGAATTAAGTGATTAAGAATAGTGCCTGGCAGATCGTAAGCACCCAGTAAACAGAGACTAGAATTACTATCATTATTAAGAGGAGACCGGGAGCTGGGCATGGTGGCTCTCTGTAATCCCAGCTACTTGGGAGGCCAAGTACGGGAGAATTGTTTGAGGCCAGGAGTTTGAGACCAGCCTGGCCAATATAGCGAGTTCCTGTCTCTACAGAAAATTTTTAAAAATTAGCCAGGCAGGAGAATCGCTTGAGCCCAAGAATTTGAGGTTTCAATGAACTATGATTGCACCACTGCACTCCACCCTGGGTGACAGAGTGAGACTCTGACTATAAATAAATAGGAGACAGGAAGACCCCATGGCCATCAGCTTGTCGGGATGCCAGAAGCCTTCCACTAGCCACCCCTCCGGTCAAATGACTCCAAATTTAGCCCCTGTCTCCTTCCTTCTCCCCTGGAGATAATAATCTTGGAGGCCATAACAGCACTTTCAGACTTAATTGGGATTGGAATGAAGTGAAGCAAACTGATCAGTTTCTCAATTACCTGAGGGTTGCTGCTGTTTCCAGATTTCTCAGAGTAACCATTTGCTGAGGGTAAGTAAACCTCTCTTTCCAAGCTGTTGCTGTCTTTGCCCTGCCCGGCCTGAGTACTGCCCATCCCTGCTGGGCCCATGGGGTCCCTGAACTGGGGATCCCTGGGCTGGGGGCATCTTGCACCTCACTTCTATCACACCCCTTCCCTCTGGCTACCTAGGGTTTGGGGTCCGTCTCCTGTGGGAGTATGAGGTCCTCAAATGTAAGGACGGCAAGGGGTACCCTTGAACTAGAGCCTGGCCCAGCATAGGGATTCTGTGAAGGCTTGTGGCAGGGATGCCAGGTTGCCTGACTGTGAATGGCCCCCACCAGAGCTGACTCTTTTCACCAGGCCAGGAGGGAAGGCACCCAGGAAGCCCCCTGCTTGGCACATTCCTCTTACTTGTACACTTTGGTGTTGTACGTCTTATCCCCAGGGAAGCCGAACATGCCGCAGACCACACGGGAGTTCTTGGCCGTCCAGTGCTTGTCGCAGATCTGCTTCCAAGCTTTGCCTTCCTTCACCTCCACGTAGCCCTCCGTCACGGGGGTGCGCTTGCGGTAGGCTGAGAGGATGGCTCGGATCCGGATGTCCTCCACCTGGATATTCAGGTTCTGGGAAGAAGGAGGCGTGGAAGGAGAGGGTTACCTGCCTGCTCTGGACATGTTGAAGCATCAAGCACTCAGTCCTTCTTCAGTGACTTGGGCTGGGCACACTGCTGGCCTGCCTCTGCCCTCAGACCCTGCAACGGGCTGTGGGCACCCCAGTGAGTGTTTTTCTTGGGAGGTGGTGAGACTGCAGGGGCTCCAGGGGAAGTGGGGTGACCTGGAGCAGCCAGAGAAGGCTAGGAGGACCCTGGGAGCTTCTTCCATATCCTACAGAAGAACCCGGAGAGCAGAGGGCAGCGACCTCCTCCCACACAGGTCTCCAAATAAGAGCATGAGAAAGTATTCTTTGAATTTGGATTTCGTACTTTACTCCAAATCATGTGTGTAGGTGCCTCTGAGTGTGTTTCTGTGTGTGTCTCCTCGACTAATATCTCAGTGAAACTGGAGTGTCAGGCAGATGAGCCCAGATATCCTGAAGCTGGTGGTGCCCAATGGCATACGACTTCATACCCCAAGGGTGGCATTCCTCTGTTCAAAACTCCCCAGAGAGGCCCGAGAGAAGGGCAGGGCTTGGAGAGAAAGGAGGTGGGAACTCCCAGTGTTGCACGTGTGTGCAGGGACCCACACCAGTCTCGTAGGGACTAGGGAGGTAGGGTTGGGAGCAACTGTCTGGCTGTAACAAGGAAGGGAAAGATTCCAAACACCTTGAGCCCCTTGGAAAGCCCCCTTCTCATGCCCACTCCTTCCATCTTTCTGTGGCGGGAAGGATTCACTAGCAGGGCACTTGAGGAGGAGGTGGAGGAAGGCTGGAGGGGAGGTGGTGGAAGAGAGGAAGATGCCTGCCTCCCTGCCACGTGGGCGCCTCTCCTCGCTCAGTGTGGAGCTGGAATGTCCCTGCGCCCGAGTTCCGGGGCTTTGGCAGGAGAGGAGGCCTCAAGAGGCCAAGTTGGATGTTAGGAACGGGCTCCCTGGGGTTACAATGACACCTTTTCACGCTTTTCCAAAGCACGCCATATCAACTTCCAGATACAATGGGCGCTCCCTTCTGAATCTCTCATGGCCAATCCCTCCTCTTTCTGTCCCTGCCCCTGCCCTAGTGGGGCCATCACCAGCTCTTTGCAATAGTCCCTGAGTGAGTCCCTGCATCCATCCATCAGCCGCAGTGCCAGCCACCAGAGAGTTATTTTTAAAACACAGAGCCCGGTCCCTCGACTGACCCCTCTTTGTCTATGTAACCTAGCGGAATGCCCTGGGCCCTTCAGGTTTGATTCCACTTCTGGCTCCACCAGCTTCAAATGAATCCATGGTTGACACGAATTGCAGTGTCTAACAGTGACGGCTACTGCAGAGCCCTTGCCAGGGGTGAGCCCTGTGCAAAATGCTGTATGTGCAGTTTCTTACTTAATCTTCCATCACTATGAAGTTTGTAGCTATTGCCATGCCCGTTTTACAGATGGGAAAACCGGTTGACTCCAACTTCCTCCCCGGGGTTACCCTGAGGTGCAATGGACACAAACACTGAGTTGGGCCAGAGGGTGGGGAGAGCTCATCCTAGCAGTGGCCCCCACCCCTGTCCAGCCAGGATGCTAGTGAACCCTGTGGTTAGACAGAACCATTCTCTGGATGCCTGGGGATTTGTGTCTCCTCGCCACCGGCTTCAGGGGCCAAAGTCAGGCCCGGTTCTGAAGCCCTGTGAGGCAGTGGAAAGTATGTGGCCTGGAGTGATGGCATTTGGCTCTGCCTCACCTCCACGCAGAGCGGAAGGAAAGCCGCCAGTGGCAGGATGATGTTTTCCAGCCTGGATCCTGGATCCATTTCAGGTTTCATTCAGGCCGCAGGACCTGTGCCACCAAGACACGTGAACAGGGACAAGCCAAGCACAGGCCTGAGGGCTAAACCCAGCCCTCGGACCAGCCCCCTCCAGCCCCTTCCCACCTCAGGAGGCCAGGCTGGGATTCCAGCCTGTAACCGAAATGCCCAGAAGGAAAGTTAACGACAGGCCCCGTGGCTCCAGGGACAGGCTGGCGAGGCTGACCTTATTTAATTCATAGATCCTTTCTCCAGCTGTGGGCAGCAGAACCCGGTCACCCTAGGAGGAGGAGGGCCTGGCTTGGGGAGCTCAGCAGATCCTGCCGGGAAGGGCCACGCTGGCCATGGGGCCTGAGGCCAGTGCGTACCAACCCTGCTGCCAAGGGAGCCGGTGCCCGCTCCTGCCTTGATGCCCTCAGCTGAAATATGGTGGGTGGGGCGAGCCTCACCGGCTCTGGGACAGAGGCAGGGCAGCCTGGAGAAGAGAAAGGGCTGAACCAGGTGTCATTGTCCTTATTCTTCCACCAACTCACTGAATGTGTGTGTGTGTCTCTCTGTGTGTGTGCATGGTGGTCTGTGTGTGTGCAACTCTGTGTCTGATATATACATGGTGCTGTGTACACAGTGTGTGTGTGTGTGTGTGTGTGAGCATCTGTGTGTGTGTGTGCACGTGCGCATGGTGGTCTGTGTGTGTGTATATGTGATGGCATATGTGTGTGAGCATCTCTGTGTGTATGCATGGTGGTGCGGGCATGGTGGTGTATGTCTGTGTATGTGATGGTGTGTGTGTGTGTGGGCATCTCTGTGTCTGTGTGTGTGCATGGTGCTATGTGCATGATGGTGTGTGTGTGAGCATCTGGATGTGTATGTGTTCATGGTGGTGTATACGTGTCAGTGTATGTGTATCCATGAGTCATATGAGTCCCTGTATTTCTATAGGTGTGTCTGTGTTTGTGTATGTCTGTGTGCACGACGATGTGTATACATGGTAGGGTTGTGTGTATGTGCCTGTGTGTTGTGTGGGCCTCTGTATTTGTCTCTGCGTGTGGAGGGAGTAATGTGTGATTGTGTGTGCATCTGTGGGAGTGTGTCTCTGTGTGGTGGAGTAAAGATCAAGAGAGACTTGTTCCCTGCAACACCTTAGAAAAGCAGCCTCAACAGGCTTTGCCCTTGTTCCTTCAAAGTGGAACGTCTTCTGCTCTTCTCCCTCCCCAGAACCAAATCGCTCCTAGTCTGTGAGGCTCAAATCCACCTCGTTCATTCATTCATTCATTCATTCTATTAAATACAGCGTCTGCCCTCCATGGGCCTTATCAGTTTTCTTCCTTGCACCCGACCACATGCCCTGCCTCCTCTTTGAAGAACACCTACAACGGCCACCGTTTATCAAATATTAGTGAATCACACACTAGGTTCTGGGCATAGAACTTGACATCCATTCCCTCCCTCAATTCCCAAGGCAACCTTCAAGATGGTACACTGTTTATAGGCAAAAATAAGAGAAGACCCAGAGTGCTTTTTCAACTATCCAAGTTCACGTATTCAATAAGTAGGTAAACAAGGATGAAAACCGAGTTGCGACTCCGAGCCTGTGCTCTAGGCTTGTAGTGAGCACTGGCCTCTGAGTGCTCCGAGGTGGGTGGATCGCCTCCACACCCATATCCCATACATCGCCTGGTACTGAGGGTGACTCACATGGGGCCGGGCCTGGGGCCCAGACTGCTGGGTGGCCCCCTCTAGGCCTGCCTGGTGCTGTGCACGTAGAAAGTCCAGCACCCCACCCTGAGGACCATGTGTCAGACGGGATTGTGTACGTGAGGGAAGAGCTGGGCCCAGTGCCCTTGTCCACAGGCCAGTGGGAGGGGACAGGAAAACCCCCTGTGGCCCACACTCGGCCTGCACGCTAACCAATCAGCTCACAGTGGCTTAGCTAAACCTCTGGTAGAAAACACACGTAGGCACGCATAACCTTTCTCTTGACTTCACTGCTGTGGAATCCCTTCTGTAATCGCAAGTGTTAAGGGAAGAGAAGGTTTGAAATATTAAAATAGACATACATTTTTCTTTTTCTTTTTTGAGTTGGAGCCTCAATCTGTCACCCAGGCTGGAGTACAGTGGCACATTAACAGCCACAGCCTGCTGGTCTCCAGTGATCCTTCCACCACAGCCTTCCAAATAGCTGGAACTATAGGCCTGTGCTACCATGCCCAGCTATTTTTTTTTTTTAATTGTAGGGACAGGGTCTCGCCAAGTTGCCTGGGCTGGTTTCGAACCCACTCACCTAGCCTCCCAAAGTGCTGGGATTACAGGCTGAGCCACCAAGCCTGGTCTTTTTTTTTTTTTTTTTAAAAT